TATATATATATATATATATCTGTGTGCTCCTTTTTTCTTTCCTTGTCTCTTTTTAAAGAACTTGGTTCCTGATGTTTACCTTTCCAGAGCTTCCAGCCTCATGCCAGATAATCGTTTCACTCTGTGACTATCTGGAAACTGCTTCCTCAGTTCATGTAGACAGGTCTGCAAGAAAGTGGATGGCAGACAAAACCAATTAGACAGACTTTTGATATTGTAATGTTTATATTTTCATGTTGAACTTCTGATCACAAAAAAAATCAAGACTTTCCTATTTGAATTAAGCTGTATCAAAAAAAATTTTTTTTGATCAATTTGATTCTGGTTAACAAACATGATTTAATTTGTGTAGGGATGCACAATTGGCATTAACGTCTGTATGGGTCTGATAAGTAAAACTGGTCCTATATTGATTTCCCACTTGTTTCCATTTGTGTTTCTGTTTTGGGAGGGGAAATGGTTGGTTGAGTGGTGTCTATGATAGTGATAGTGACGCTGCACAAATAATCTGTGTGTTTGTGCAATATCAGTAAATATCAGTTATCAGCCGTAACAAAAACAACAACAGAATAACAATTTTAATATACGATATCAGCTTAAATTTTCATATCGGTGCACCCCTAAACTCAAGAGAATCTGTGTTTCTTCGGTCACTTATTTTGGAAACCACTCTAGCTACTATTAAAAGGAGAATGAAGATTCTAAATGTTGTTTTTCCCTTTTTTCCAGAGCTGGAATTTCTTGGATTCATCATACAGAAAACGGGAAAGGTTACATTCAGCATTATTCTGTATTAGATGGAAAAGTCATTAGTGTGACCTGAATCATTTACACTGCTTATTATTTTAAGTGAGGCAGCAAGAGTGAAAAAATTGCCAAGAGACAAGTAATTCTAATGACTAAGCGTTGCCTTGTCTATACTCAGTGAGTCACTCATTTTGCCAAAGGAATCACATTTGTACTGATTGGTGATTAACCACTTCCTGATAATCTTTTATCTCCTGTCGATGCAGTTTACTATTTTTAGAGCAATGAGAATTTCTAAAGTCAAAAACATCTCAAAGCTTTTTGATGACAAATAAATCCAAAGTGGAAAAAATGCTTAACGAGATAAGTGATGGCCAAGTTTAGCAAATTCTTGAAGCGTGCTTCTCAACTCATTTGCTACACACTCTAATTCCAGCTCTCTGTAAATTGTTTTTCCAAGTACAGACTGAGTAATAATTCTTGGCCAAATAAAAGTGAAAAAAAAAGAAGAGAAAATCACATTTTTAAATTTGGCAGTGAAGGTGCAGCAAAGCCAGAGTGGCTGCAACAGAGAACGAGAACTTTATGAAACTTTTGGGTGTGTATGGATGTGTGGCAAACTCTTACCAGAGCCAAGTCATCTCGACTGCAGTCCAGTGCGGCAATCATCACCTGCTCATAAATTATCCAAACTGGGTAGAACAGACAAAGAAGACTGTGTTAAATGACCTTTCTATTCTGGTGTAACTGAAAAAAATTATGAAATTAAAAGCTGATGAACAAATTATTCATTTAGAAACAGCAATACTAATGTTTTAACTCAGTAAGAGTTCAGAAATCAATATTTGGTGGAATGCTTGCAACCAAATAAACTGTGCAGTGGTCTCAATCTTTTCCCAGAAGTGTATGTATTGAAATATTCTGAATATGCAAAAATGTTACATGACTTGCATTATATTTACTTCGTCTGAGAGGGTATTGGTAACATTCAGGAAAAACTATTTTTATAACACCAGAAAGAACAAAGTGAGTAGTCCTAAGACAGCGTTACAAAAACTCCATAAAATATTTAGCATTTTGAACTACAAGCAATTTAAGGGTGTATTCAGACCAGGAAAGTCTTTTGGTCCAATTGTTAGGTCCGGACCAAAAATTGACTTTTTTTTTTTTCGTTTGGTGTGGTTTGCATTCACATTGTGCTTTTTTTTGCAAACGAACTATAACTTGTAAACAAAGCCATGAGGCTGACGATCATTGCTCCTATTGGACAAAAAAAGGACGGGGGCAGGACTGAGCCACAAACCCAGAAGAAAACAAGGAAGTCCTGCATGCTGCGGTTCTGATGCGCACATTTTTACTGATAGTACAACTGCAATAGCATTTAAAATGTCAGAAGCAGCTAATTTAATGGTGGTTCCGTGATGATATGCTAATTTTGGAGCGACGTCATGTAAATGTGTCCCGCAACCCAAAGGAGACGAGGTGCGCTGCGTGTTCTGACCCACAACATGCCGGCAGCAGAGCTGGTAACAGGAGACGATGAAACAGGTCTGTTTTCAGTTTATTTAGCTCAGCAACGGTGGCCTGTGAAGTCCAAAAAGGTGCATGTTAATGCAGTTAGTTCGGTTAGAGTCCGGTCTGTATTCACACCAGAAGCAAACTGAAGTGAACCGCACCAGAGTTCGTTTGGAAGCGGACCGAGACCACCTCAAAAAGCAGGTCTCGGTCCGGTTGTTTGATCCGCACCAGAGTTCGCATGAGTGTATTCACACCTGCACAAAAGGTCCGGACCAACGCTGGAAACGAACTCTGGTTCGTTTAAAGCGGAGCAAATTATCAGGTCTGAATACGACCTTACATGCATCTGATGAGTATTTAAAAATAGGGATGGACAATATGACTGAAAAATGTATCACAATATAAGTGATTCATATCAGTCGAAATTTGGAATTGATTAGTTTTTTGTTTTCCCCATTTGAAATAATAAAAAAGGTGATTAATACTGCCAAACTGGTAACGTGACCATTCCTCTTTTATCCACAATTTACTCTTGAATTGTTACACTCATTTTCTTCGTTTACTCCATGCCACTTTTTTTAAGCGGTTATGAGGCACAATGGTGAAACATGAAACTACTACACACTAGGGTTGAGCAATATTGGCAAAAAAATTAATCACTATTAATTGTGGTATTTAGCCAATAACTATTAATTTGACGATTAATCCCCTGGAGTCCCTGGACACTCTCATGTCCTGGTCATATGACCAATTTAGTGGGAAAGATTTGCTCTTCATACAAATCTGTTCCAAACTGTGTCAAAATTATAGACTTCAGGCTATGTATCAAATTTTAAATTATGTTGATAGATAAATAATTTACAGAAATTTTTTTAATGTTCATCATACTGTATTTTTTTGCAGCCAGTTCAGTAGAAAGCAGAACTGAATATCAGTATCTTGGCTTCTTCATCGTCAGTGAGTTTTTTTGAGAAAAAGAAAGGAAAAAAGTGAAATGTAATGAGAAAGAGTGAAAGAGAGATTAGAAGATATGTGAAATATATGTCGAGAAAACACAAGACAGCACACCTGACATCTTGGCTCCACACCGACAAAAACAAAGATAACAAAACTGAAGAAATTTAGTTATTTATAGATTAGTACTGATATCAGAAACAAGTATACAAGTAAACAAGTATTAGGGTTTTCTTTTTATAATACTTTTATAATGTTTGATTTATTATGTGTTAATTGAAAGAGTAGCTACATGTCCGAATTCATATTCAACACATAATTAAAAGCTGTGTTAACATTAGGGTGAGGACTTTGTCTGAATGCCGGTGATTCAGCCGTAGGTCAGCAGGGGGCGAACTCAGGCATTGAAGATTCTGTATATTTACTGATCCATTTCCTGGTTATAACCAGTGTGGTTTTGGCTTGTCAGTCCGGTGGCAAATAAACCTCACTCATCTCTCTCCAGAATTCTGGTGTTGTATGACATTTATTTCATATCACTGATCATTTTATTTAACACTTGTGTTTTCATCTGATTTCAGCCGATATTAAAGAGTAATTTACCCCAAAATTAACTTTTTTAGCCGATAAACTGTCTAGAATGTGTCTAAAATGTTATATAGTACTGTTT